CAACTGTTATATTACTACAATCCTAACAACAACCCCCTCTTGTTGATAATAACTAAATTGGCTGATTAACTCCAATGGTAGTTTTACAGTTATTAATTTATATTTTGATAGTTTTAAGTTTTATAACAAACATATTTGTTTATAATACTTCCTAATACGGAAATTATCCTATACTGTAAATAAAATGTATGTTAAATCTTTTTAACTCCGCCTGTAGCTCTTCTAGAGTTACTGCCGGTCCCAAGCCCGGGTAAAGGAGGAGGGTTGGGCATGGGGTTAGCGACCCCATCCCGTAGAAAATCAACTCGCTAAAAAAACGCTAACCAGAAAAAATAATTCAAACCATTTAAACTCTGCCCTCCGAGTTGAAGGAATAATTATGACGTCTCATGATGAAAGCCGAAATTCTTCGGAAGTCACGAGACCGATGCACCTTCTAACAACCAGAGCAACACTCTTTATAAGTACATGGAACGTCCGGACAATGTGGGAGACAGGAAAGACCAGCCAAATAGCAATGGAAATGCGGAGATACAACTTGGCAGTACTCGGAATCAGCGAAACCCATTGGACACAAACTGGACAACAAAGGCTAGGTACAGGAGAGATGCTGCTGTACTCCGGTCACGAAGGGGAAAACGCTCCACACACTCAGGGAGTTGCTCTAATGCTGTCCAAAGAAGCAAGAAATGCACTTGTGGGATGGGAATCTCATGGACCCAGGATAATCAAAGCATCATTCAGAACAAAGAAGCATGGGATCACAATGAACGTTATCCAATGTTATGCACCCACCAATGATAGCAACGACGATGATAAAGATCAGTTCTATGAAAGGCTGCAATCAATTGTAGCAAAGTGCTCACGAAAGGACCTCACAATCCTGATGGGAGATCTAAATGCTAAAGTTGGAGTGGACAACACAGGATATGAAGATGTAATTGGACGACATGGATTAGGAGAAAGAAATGAAAATGGGGAGAGACTTGCAAACCTATGTGCTTTCAACAAATTGGTTATAGGCGGCACAATATTCCCACACAAACGCATACACAAAGCTACATGGATCTCACCGGACCACACCACAGAGAACCAGATAGATCACATCTGTATCAACAAAAAATTCCAAAGATCAATGGAAGATGTAAGAACCCGGAAAGGAGCTGACATAGCTTCAGATCACCACCTGGTTGTGACCAAGATGAGACTGAAGCTTAAGAAAGACTGGACAACTGGACAAACAGCACTACAAAGGTTTAATACAGCCTTCCTTCGAGATGCTGACAAGCTCCATGAATTCAAGATAACTCTCAACAACAGGTTCCAAGCTCTACAGGATCTACTGAAAGAACAAGAAACTACTTTGGAGGACAACTGGAAAGGGATAAAAGAAGCACTAACTTCAACGTGTCAGGAGGTTCTTGGTCCTAAGAAGCATCATCACAAGGAATGAATCTCTATGGGAACCCTGGACAAAATTCAAGAAAGGAAGAACAAGATACTAGCAATTAACAACAGCCGAACACGAGCAGAGAAAGTCAAAGCACAAGCAAAGTACGCAGAAGCAAACAAGCAAGTGAAGAAAAGCATTAAAGCCGACAAGCAGAAATACATGGGAGAACTAGCAACGGCGGCGGAAAAAGCTGCAAGAGAAGGGAATATGAAACAAGTATATGACACAACGAAGAAATTGGCAGGGAGATATAGCAAACCAGAGAGACCAGTCAAAGACAAAGAAGGAAAGACAATCACTGAGATTCAAGAACAGAGGAAAAGATGGGCAGAATACTTCGAGGAACTGCTGAATAGACCAGCCCCATTGAATCCACCGAACATCGAAGCAGCACACACTGACCTTCCAATAGATATCACTCCACCAACGATCGAAGAAGTCAAGATGGTCATCAGACAAATCAAAAGTGGGAAGGCGGCAGGACCTGACAATATACCAGCAGAAGCACTGAAGTCGGACATTGAAATAACTGCAAATATGCTTCACCTTCTATTCAAGAAGATTTGGGAAGAGGAACAAGTGCCAACGGACTGGAAAGAAGGATATCTCATCAAGATACCAAAGAAAGGAGATCTGAGCCAATGTGAGAACTACAGAGGCATCAGTTTGTTATCAGTACCAGGAAAAGTTTTCAACAGAGTGCTGCTGAATCGGATGAAAGACGCAGTAGACGCCGAACTTAGGGATCAACAGGCTGGATTCCGTAAGGATCGGTCGTGCACAGACCAGATTGCGACACTACGGATCATCGTTGAACAATCAGTTGAGTGGAACTCATCACTATACGTCAACTTCATTGACTATGAGAAGGCGTTTGACAGCATGGACAGGAGAACATTATGGAAACTTCTTCGACACTATGGAGTTCCTGAAAAGATTGTCAACATTATCCAAAACTCATACGATGGACTACAGTGCAAAGTGGTGCATGGAGGACAGCTGACAGGTGCATTTCCAGTAAGGACCGGAGTCAGACAAGGCTGTCTACTCTCCCCATTCCTCTTCCTTCTAGTGATTGACTGGATTATGAAGAGTTCGACATCTGAAGGGAAATACGGAATACAATGGACAGCTCAGAATCAATTAGATGATTTGGACTTCGCAGATGACCTAGCCCTCCTCTCTCGTACACACGACCAAATGCAGATGAAGACAGCAAATGTAACAGCAGCGTCCGCATCGATAGGTCTCCACATTCGCAAAGGAAAAAGCAAGATTCTCAAATGCAACACGGAGAACACCAACCCAATCACACTTGACGGCGAAACTCTGGAAGAGGTGGAAACATTCACGTACCTGGGGAGCATCGTTGGTAAACAAGGAGGATCGGATGCAGATGTAAAGGCGAGGATTGGCAAAGCAAGGGCAGCATTTCTACAATTGAAGAACATATGGAACTCAAAACAACTCTCAACTAATTTCAAGGTCAGAATCTTCAATACGAACGTCAAGACAGTCCTACTGTATGGAGCTGAAACGTGGAGAACTACTACGGCCATCATCAGGAAGGTACAAGTATTTATAAACAGTTGTCTACGCAAAATACTCAACATCCACTGGCCGGATACTATCAGCAACAGCGTTTTATGGGAGAGGACAAACCAGCTTCCAGCTGAAGAGGAAATTAGGAAAAGACGTTGGAAGTGGATCGGACATACATTGAGGAAATCACCAATGTGCATCACGACTCAATCCCTAACTTGGAATCCGGAAGGGAAGCGGAAAAGAGGAAGGCCAAAGAACACACTACGCCGGGAAAAAGAAGCCGATATGAAAAGGCTGAATAGTAACTGGAAAGAACTGGAAAGGAAGGCTCAGGACAGAGTTGAATGGAGAATGCTGGTGAGCGGCCTATGCTCCTCGACGAGGGGTAACAGGCGTAAGTAAGTAAATCTTTTTATATAGTTGAATTCATGAGTCAATTGAAGCTAGACTACCACAGAAAACTTAGAAGCATTGGACGACTGTTTCGTTTACACGTTTTCAATGATGATCTAGCTTCAATTAACTCATGAATTTAATTATAAAACTACTAAAATCTCCACAAAACCCCCTTCTGTTAATAAAACTTTTTTCTTTTTTTTAAAAGTTCAGATGAAATAAATGACTTACAATTTTCTCAGAATCAAAATGATATAAGATTTACCTTGTTATTAGTTGACTCTTTTCAATTAGTTACTTAATCAAATTATAATTATTCAAATTTAGAATTATTACCACGGTGATTTAAACAAAAATCAAACGTATCTTTTACATTTATAAAAATATTTAATTGCAAAAAATGCATTAGTACATAATCATTAAACTTGATTTATGATGATTCATATATTATATATACTACTACTACGACTATCGTTTCGGTCGCTATGTTAAGCCCACATAGCTTAGTCTGGTTTCCGGACAAGCCAATTTATTCATTCTTCTTGAGTTACATTTTAATCTTGTTAATTATGCGCTTATCATCTTTGAGTGTTTTTATGTAAGCGTACGTGTGTGAAGTTCTTATCTTACTCATTACATTTCTGTAGCTGATTTTTGTCTGATCATAAATAATGGATTTACGCTTAGTTAAGTCACGTTGTCTGACCCGCCTTCTCCATTGCGCGTCACTTTGTCTTGTTTCGCTTTACCATCAACGATTGTACAAAATATACGCATCCGAAATCCATTCTCGTATTTGATTTATTAAATTACGTGATTCACTAACGCGATTTAAGTTGATAATTATATATGGGGATTGAGGATACATATTTTTTAATAACATCCAATCATAAGGTATTATTAGAGTCAGAACAGGGTCACTGAACTACCACGTTTTCCATGGTGATCTATCTTCAATTAACTCATCAATTCAACTATAAAATGACTAAAATCTCTACAAAATCCCCTTCTGTTAATAAAAGTAACCAGATGAAATAAATGATTTATATAATTTTCTCAGAATCAAAATGATATAAGATTCACCCTGTTATTAGTTGACTATTTTGAATTAGTTACTTAATCAAATTATCACGGTGATTTAAGCAACAACAAAAAAAAGCCCAAACATACCTTTTACCTCTATAAAAAATATTTAATTCCAAAAAAAACTACATGATTACATAATTATTATAATTGACTTATGATGATTCATTTAAATGATGAGTTAAATTTTAAAATGGAAAAAAAATTATTCATCATTTCAATAAAACAAATGATTGAACATTTAAATAAATTCAATAATTTCAATGATATTACAACATTAACAATATCATTAATGATAATAATCAATAATGATGTCATTATCAAATAGAATTCACTTAGTAACTCAAATGGTTGTAATTTTTTTTATATTTTGTAGAAAAAAAGGAGAAACCAAACAAACAAAAAAACAAAAGATGAATAAATGTGTATATGTATATATGTAGTGTACAACAAGTAAATATGAATACAATTCGAATGAATAAATCTTCAAAAAACAAAAAAGAAAAAAAAAGAAAATCTTAGTTTACATAAGACAACATTTATCAGTTGCTTGATTTGCTAATTGTTGTGGTAATTCCACTACTTTCGATGCAACATCTTGTACTGCAGTTGGAATAAATTCTTGATAATATGATATAATTAATTTATTAGGGAAGAATAAATAAAAATAAAATTTTATTATTTTAAACAATGTTGATTATATTGAAAAAAATTAAGTTGAATATAGAATTAGTCATATTAATGATGTAAGATTTTATGTCAATATGTATATTGTCCAGTGGTATACTACAACTAGACTGACAAACCGTATGTATATTCTAATAAATTATTTTAACTACTTAATAAGATATAAAGTAATATATTTTTTCGTTTAAAATAAGTGGTTAGGAAATTTATTTCGTTTACCATTTCTTTATCAGAAGGGGGTTTTGTGTAGATTTTAGTAATTTTCTATAGTTGAGATCATGAGTCAATTGAAACTAGACCACCAGGGAAAACCTGGAAGTACTGGACGGCTAAATCATCCTATTGTGGGAATCCTCAGCAGTGCACATCCACAATCTCGCCTCGCAAGATTCTAACCCACGACCTACCAGTCTCGCGCCAGTGCACTTAACCTCTACACCACTGAGATGACCGGCATCCAATGGTGTTAATGTCTAACTTCAACTAATCCACGAAATTGAGCAACCATTCACCAATTGTCTTCAGTGAATTACTATCTCACAACAGACGTGGATGAATTCTACTAGTCATTGCTTCTCATTAGAAATCCAGGAAATGCCTGTTGAAGCCAGTCACTAGTGAGCATATGAACATTATCAGAATGGGGTTTTGTGGAGGTTTTAGTAATTCTGTGTATTTGAGGAGTCCCACAATATGACTAAACGGCCGTCCAGTGCTTTCAGGTTTTCCATTGTGGTCTAGCTTCAAATGACTCATTACCATTTCTTAATTGTTTTTCATTATAGTGATTATTCAAAATTATTCAGATAAATTAGAATACGAATACTTTGTATTAAATTCAGTGTATGTTTCCCTTTTTTCAAAAAGCCATTTTAATGTGAATACTATTATCGACATCTACTCTAAAATAATGTTTGTTGGGTATCAGTTTTTAAATGCTTGATTATGTAGGTTAAGTATTTTGGTTTTGCACGATATGAAGATAAGATAAAATTACTATGCAATATAGTCTTTGGAATATTATATCACCAAAAATAAATACATTTTGCAGTTCTATGCTATTCTCTTTTTTATTGAACTGAATACCTTTCAATACCTCATATATTCGTATTCAGAATATACCTATCGATTAAAATAAAAGGTCAATCCTCCTGAGTGAACATCAACTCTGGCATTCAGGCACATCCAGCTGACAAGTTTATAAATAGAACGAAACTCGCGTCCCGGACTCCATTGTTAGCTACCACCCATCTTTGCTTATAATACTTGAGTTATATGGTTTAAGAGTATTTTTTCAGAAAATTTATGCAGTACTCATAAAATGTCCTGACTCTATAAATGTGTATTGTTAGCTATCCAAGTACATCACAATGTATTATTTGTCAGGTAGAATCCTTTAAGTCACAAACTACATCAAGAAACAATTAAATCAGCAGTTTATGGCTATAGATATTACTTGTCATCTTTTTTAAAAGTTATCCATACACATTTTCATCTATAGATAAAACCCTTATTACCCAATATAACTTTAAATATTTCCTAAAAATCATGTTATGCTATAAATATCTCATATAAATCTTAAATGATTATGAAAATGTCAAACGATTACAACAAAAAAGCTTACTCATAAATGAGTCCTCTTGAGCAGATCGACGATGTGTATTTAAGTTAACATCAGAGCATCGATGAGTTGACGATCGTCTTGAGCCATCTGGTGTTCCTACTTCCAGAAAATCAGATTTCTTCTTCAGTCCATACTAAATATTGTAATACAGTTCACAAATAAAGAATTAAGCTAATATTAATTCGTATGATCACCGAACAGTGAAACAAGATAAAACTTATAACAGTAGAAAGAAGAAGTACTACTATTACAAATGAATGAAGACTACTTGCAAATGTATTTTTGTAAAATAGGAGTCAAAGTCATAGTAAAAGTCTTCAGGGGCAGACAAATAGATTAAGCACCAAATATTTGAATCCAAAAATTTAGGTTTATGGACCCAAATTCTTTAATAGTCATGAAACAATTAATTTAGTGAAAAGCCCCACTTTAATAAGTTTATTTTAGAAGTTGTACAAATACAATTATACGTCTATCGAATTATAAAACTATAAATAGGCTATATTTTTGTCAGTATAACAATATATTCCGTTTAAACAAACATAGGACTTACTTATAGATTGAATTTACTTATGATAGTACAAAGTTAAAATATAGAGATTCATTTGAAGAATTACTTTTCATATAACTCAACGGGAAAATTCAAATTATTCTATTAATAGTGTAGTAAATACTATTCTAGTCGGCGACCTATGCTCCATTGGGAGTAACAGGCGTAAGTAAGTAAGTAAATACTATTACTTTTGATAAACACAAAAGTCATATATTTGTATCGACATATCCAATAGTTTTTTTTTACAGTAAACTCTACCAGAATAAGTAAATGAAAGTTTTAATCCCCCTTTTTAATTGTTGACAATAGTTCTTTAAGACATTTTACTGATCTAAAAAAATATTCTTTATCTATAATGGTCCCCATTAAGTTGTTTTCACTTAGCATTTTGAATAGCTATAAAGACATTTTTCGTTCTCTTTTTTTAAAAAAAAATCAGTTAGTAGCAAAAAGGGAAGAATGTATCTATTAGGAAATATAAATTTGACTTTCATAATGTTGATTATAAATAGGTTTATTGTTTAATCTTTTTGAAACCTTAGAGAATAATATCTATTCAGTAGTATATTTATCTACTTAATAAAGTAGTTTATGTATTTTTCCAAAAAAAAATAATCTGAAAGCTTTGGAATATACCAAAAAAATGACTATACAGTTTTCATTTAATCATGTGTTTGAAATTATCCAAATGACTCTACAAATCATCTTATCTTATATTACTCAAATTCCTATGAAATCTGAATAATGAACTCAAGCTTATGTAAAATTCAAAGAGAGCAGACTACATTTGTATGAAGAATTCCATATCTAACTACCTCTTCTTACCATATATATATATGAACTACCTAACGGATATATTATTTTACAGTATATATGTATATAGTTCTCCATTATTTGCAATTATCCATTATAAACTAGTCCATCGAAACTGAATCACTTTTTTAATACTCATTACCGCCCCCAAATGCCCTGGTACGGCCGAGAGTGGGGAGAGTCACCTCTCCCTCTCGAAATGCTCTCACATGACCACGCATATATAGCCTTTGCCAGGGAAGTCCTACTCACTGCCTTCTAGTGGCGGGGGTGTTGTTTACGAAATTGAGAGGACGAAAAGCGAATGTCCGGCGCTTTAACCGGGTTGGTGGACATGGAAAGTTCACCTAGGGGAGTTGGAAAACCCTGATTCCAAACCAATGGTGCACATGGGCTGGCTCCAGTATCCTGAGGGAACAAATGGCGTACGAATCAACCGTTGATCACCGGCTACTATGGGACTGCATCTCCTCACGATGCTCCACTGCCTTGTGAACTAGACCTTCAGGTCAAAGGCTCGGGGTGTGGCCCCCTAAGAAAACCACCTGCTTCAGTTTGGGCACCTGGGCAGTATCACAGCCCTCACACGAATCAAATGTGATTTGTGAGGCGCATATTTATCTGGTGCTTCCTTGTACCAATATTTATGTGTTTAAATAAAATAAAATAAAATACTCATTAGCTCAACATTGATGATAATAAATTTTATAATTAGGAGACTGTAAAATGTTTAAAAAGTTATACATAATTCAGGCCAATTATATGAATTGATTATCTATGTATATATGAAGTTAAATATATATAAAAAAGAGCCTCATTCTTATCAAACAAAAGTTAATTTGAATAATTAGGTCAACATTTTTATCCAAAAAAAACAAAACAAATAATAAATCAGTGAACAAAAAAACCCAAGAGACAAGAACATACTTGATTTAATGATGCTTACATTTATATAGAGAGAGATATATTAGAAAATTCAACTTTGTAACGTAATAAATTTATGATGAAAATATTAAAATTCATTTTTAAGGAAAAATGGATAGTGGCTAGAAGTGGAATCAAGATTGCACGTTTTGTCCTATTTGAGATTCGTCAGCTGGATGTACCTGCATCTCAGAGTTGATGTTCACTCTAGGACCCAAACCCAGTATCTTTCGCTTCAAACACCATCGTGTTATCCACTCGGCTATTGAGTTCTGATAGCCACCTGATTGTACAATAGGGTGAAGTTTAAATTTATATCGTGTTGTTTACTTGTATCAGGACTCAGTAGCTAAGTGGTTAACGCGATGGCGTTTGATGCGAAAGGTACTCGGTTCGGGTCCCAGAGTGAACTTCAACTCTGAGATGCAGGTACATCCAGTTGACGAGTCCCAAATAGGATGAAATGTGCGTCCTGGATTCCACTGCTAGCCACTATACAATTTTTCATTACAATAGTTGTGAATTAAGACTATATCGAGATTATATGCACAGTATGCACATATGCCAATAAGAGACTGACTAGTTGCAGTCCTAGACATCAATTGGAAGATTCAAACAAACAATACTGAGTGAATTTAAATCCATTTTTGCTAACTTTAGTTTACTTTGAAAATTAAAATACAGTCATAGTGATTATAGCTTACGAATCATATGAAAGATCAGTAAAAAAATAAACAATAACAAGAAAGCATTAAAGCCTTTTCAACTTCCAACTGGCCAGTATCAGTAAAACTATCTTAGTGTGCATTCTATTACTAACAATTAATCAAATACCTATAATGGAATCATAAACGTAAATAAAAAGATTAAAATGTATTATGTGTTAGTATCGTGTATGCGAAGTGCTCCGGTATCGTCCCACAACAGTACGAAACGGCCGTCCAGTGTTTCTAGCTTTTCCATGGTGGTCTAGCTCTAACTGAATCATGAATTCAACTATTAAATTACTTAAGCTATTGGTTTATAGATAAATGTTTAGTATACTAAAGTGATAAAATGATAATATGATGTAACTTAAAGACGGCGAAGTATTTATTATACATTTGTGCGGTATGTTTTTAATTCTTCCAAGTTATTTCCCCATCAAGGTTTGAAGTTAGCTAATCAATTAATGTAAAGTAAATGTTATTAGATAGCTGTTTTATGGTAGTTTAAGGCTCATACCAGATCAAATATAAGACTTTCAGGTCTTGTACTAGATACAGTAATTTTAGAATATGCAGACAAAATCCAATGTTTATTTCATAACATGTTACGATTACTTAAGATTATCGGTTATGTCTATGGCCCTCCAACTTAAGGTAGATCTGAGAACCATAATTTTTCTCGGTTTGTTTTCGCTTACATTAATTAAACTTCTATCATCTATAAGGAATGTCTGTTTAAATGGTTCGATAAACATTTTATTTAATTTCAAGGTAATTTTCACTACTACCTGATATTAGCTACATTAAGAATTAACAAATTAAAAGTGTAAATCATTACATACGAACCTAGTCACACAATGGTATTCAATATTGTGTTAAACATATCTTTAAATAAAATGTAATATTCGTTCTCCTCCTTAGTATAACGTCAAAGAAATTCAGCTTTTTGTCACACACGCTTTCACAAGTGAAACTAACCGCTGGGTGTACACTGTCGAACTGTTCTAGGAGTCTGTCCTTACTGGTGTTCTGATCTACGACAACGAATGTGTCGTCGATGTAGCAGCAGTATAGATCATACTACTTAATAGTCTGATTAAGTGGTCCGTTTTCTAGCTTTGCTGGAAAGAGATCAGCTAGAATAGGGCCTAGAGGTGAATGCATGACTATCTCGTCTATTTGTCTATAGTAAATATTGTTGAAGACAAAATGGACATTCAGCGTACATATTAAGAGCAGTTCCTTCAGACAATCTTCAGGCAAGCCAATGTTGATTTATTTTTCCGATATTTGCTTGCATATAAACTCAATAGTCTCAATAAGTAGTACGTTGTTAAACAAAGATACTATATCCAGTGAGAACATATTTTTCATGTTAACATTCATATTTTCCACTTTGAAAGTGATGGCTCGTTAAGTAGAAGTGTGTATAGAAAAATTTAACATTGGTTAATCACATTGTTTGCAATGAAATATATTTACAAATTATATTGAATGTTGTTTTAAAATCTTGATCTTCATTATTCAATATTTTTGTTTAAAATGTTAAATGCAAACATTGCAAGTAATGACAAAAAACGGTACAACCCTTGAATGTTTACAATGTGATATTTATTAGCTTAAGTCAGTCAGTCAGTCAGTCACAACGTAGAACTTCGTACGTGCGTACATCAGATCGAGTTGCTATACCACATTAGCATAGAGATGCAGTTGTCGATCCAAATCCTATAGTGGTAGAAGTAGTAAAAGTATTACCAGTAATCGGAAACATTAGGGTTTGAAGTTGCTATTGAAGGAGTATAATATACTGAAATAAATTTGGAAGGAAAAAAAATACAGACATGAAGAATTCAGAAGATTAGAATTTGGCAGAACACAAAGAATGGATGCACCTAAGTTATTACAAACGATTTTGAACCATGTCACTCAAGGTCTCTAACCATCAATTGCTATCATCTCGCAAATCCCAACCAGGTAGTCTACACCTACCAACATGGCTCAATCCAATTCTCAGTGACTTCATGGATTTGTTCCACATTTTGGTCTGGCCTCCCCCTTAGCTTTCTTCCAACCTACTCCTACACCATTCATAAATCAGTAAACATAGTTTAATAATTGTTTTCATTTCCTTAAACA